ACGGGCGGGAATCCGGCACTGGGAGCCGCCAGGACACCGGCTGGCTAAAGACCTCAAGTGAGTTAGGCAGGCGTCGCCTCCCTGCGGAACCAGGGGCAAAGCGCCCCGCCCCCTGCGGCAGGCCCCGCCCCCTGCGGCAGGCCCCGCCCCCTGCGGCAGGCCCCGCCCCCGCGGCAGGCCCCGCCCCGCCTCACGTGGGAAGCGCCTCTTCCCGCGGCTGCTCGGCCACGTGTTGCTGCCCGAGCGTTGCTCGGGCGCGGGCGCCGCAGGGGCCCCGCAGCGCGGTGCGAATCCAGGTTGGGTTCGGCCTCCGGGAGGAGAGCAGGATCACCCTCGCCTGGCGGGACTCGGCATCTGGGCCGACCCCTCCCCGGCCCGCTATTCTCGGTTCTTCCGCGCGGAACAAGAGCAGCTCCCAGGGCGCGCTCAGCAAGCTGGGCCAGAGCCCCGAGCCTCTTCCCTTGCGACCCCGGCTGACAGATCTCATTCTGTGCCGGTGGGGGTGGGGGTGGGCTGACACCACTTTAAAGCGCATTTTACAGATGAGGTTCTGAAGCGTTTGCGCAGGTCGCCGAGCTTGTTGGGGGAGCCCGAGCTCAGCTTCGGGGACGGAGTGCGCAGGGTCCCACCGCGGGGGCGGGAGGGCAGTTAGGGACTGTCTGCCTCGCCTCCCTCCTGGGCGGGAAGGCTGGGCCTGTCGGTCCCAGTGAAACCAGAATTAAGGGAAATACTTTGTGCTGCAGCAAGAGGGATTGGGTTTAGCTCCAAGGAGGATCTGCCCATTGCAAGAAATAGACGAGAGATGCCACGGGATTGCTCCCCGAGGGAAGAGGGGATTTAAGAGAGGGACTGTGGGTTGGCGACTCGGGCCTCGCCTCGGGGGACGTGTCTCACCGATTTTGGCTTTCCTGCCGTGGGAAAGGTTGCCCCCGGAGTCTGGGGCACAAATGTTGACTCGAGACGCACAGAGACGGTCGTCGTTGGGGTCCTCGTCCACGGTTTCTTTACCGTCCTGGGCTCAACAGGACGGGAGTGAGGGGGAGAGGCCCCGGGAGCAGTTACTGGTGCCAGAAGCTTCTCCACTCTCTGCCGCCCCAGCTGGGCTGCCGAGGCCCGCCCACCCCTGGCTGAACGACTCCCTCCTCCCCAGCTGAACCTCCACCGCTACCTCCCTCCTCCCCAGCTGAACCTCCACCACTACCTCCCTAAGAACAACGATGAAGATGACAGCCACCATTTATTGTGCCCTTAACTTGGTGCCCGATGCAACGCTAAACATTTTCTGCACATTTACTTACAACTCCGAGAAATTCGTGCTACTGTCGTCTTCATTTTACAGATCAGTGCAGGGGAATTAAAGCAAATGGTCCAAGGTCCCAGTTCTTCACCTTCCTTCTGGACCCCCTCCCTACTCCCCAGCCTCAGTCAGTCCTCTTTGCTCCCAGAATCCACCCCAACTTCCCAGAATAGAGTTGAACACCAGCTTCCCCAACCCCCGCTGCCCCAGCCTCTGGGTCGGAGGTCACAGGGAGTAGAGAACTTCCACCACTTCCCAGCTCCACTCCACCGCCTCCCCCACCCCCCCCAGCTTGGCCCTCTGGGGATCTGTCCCCATGAAGCTCCAACTCGTCTTGGCCTCCGAGTCCCCTGCCTCCATCTGGGCACTCTCCCCACCCCCACCCCAAGCCTGTGCCCAGCATAGGGGCATCACAGCTGGCTCCAGGCTGCCTAGGGAGTAAGGAGATCCAGGGAATATCAGGGAGCCCCACCAGGAATCTGGACTCATCCAGGGCCCCGGAAGCCCGCCTAGCAGCCTTTGCAGTGGGGTTCCTGCAGCCCCTTCCTATCCTGGGCCCCAGTTCCTCACCTTGGGTCCTCCCTGCTCCCCAAGAGGCCAGCCAGCTTAGGCTGGCAGCAAAGAACTTTTCACTTAGCAGCTCAGCTCAGCCAGACCTGGGAAGCCAGGGGGGTGGAGAAAAAAGGGAAGGAGAAGGTGGAGGGAGGGGTAAGCATTGCATTTCCCCTCCTCCAGGCAGCCCCAGGCTTCACAGTTGGAAGAGCTGCGAGGACTGGGGTTGGGCCTGTGAGGGGCTGAATCCGGAAGTCCAAAGTCCATATTAAGGGTTGAGGGGGAGAGGGCTGAGGGCTGAGAGCATCAGGGCTGCTTCATGGCTCTGCAACTTTGGGCAAAGGCCTGTCCCTCTCTGGACCTCAGCTTCTCTGTCTTAGTCTGTTCGGCCGCTGTAACAAAATACCAGACTGGGTGGCTTATAAATAACAGAAATGTATTTGCCACAGCTCTGAAGGTGGGAAGTCCAAGATCAAGGCTCCAGCAGGGTCCTAGAGGACCCTCTTCCTGGTGTATAGCCTGCACTTCCTGTGTCTTCATTGGTGGAAGGGGCTGCAGAGTATTGTGGGGCCTCCATTCATAAGAGCATGACTCCCATTCGTGAGGCTCTGCCCTTGTGACCTCCCAAAGGTCCCTAAAATACCCTCACATTAGGGATACGGATTTCAAAGTATAAATTCTGGGGGGACACATTCAGTCCATGGCACTCCCCATCTGTAGGCTCTGTTGAGAGCCTGTTTGGGGAAGGAAGAGGCAGCTGGTAAATCCTGACTCTGGGAAGAACAGCACTGGGGCTGGGCCACGGCACAGCCCACCCATCTCTCCTCCTACTGGCTTCTTTCCGGAGCCTCAAAATTCAGTGACCCCAGGGTCTGAGGAGCAAGCATGGCTACCCTTTTCCCAAAGGTCCCTCAAAGTCAGGGCTCAACTCTGACCCAGCCTAGGGCCTCGTCACTACCCCTTCCTTCCAGAGAGCCTCACGGCCCATGGAGAGGTTGTGAGGCTTAATCTAATGGGGAGTTCAGGACACCAAAGCAGGGAGAAGGTGGCCCTGTGACACTTCCCCCGAGCGGCCTCTCACTCCAAGTCCTGAGAGAGGAGCTTTATCTGGAGCCCAGACCCTCTCCCTGGACAACACACCCAGGACCCACCACAGACTGTGTGGTGCCGAGTTTCAAGATGGCCAGAGCAGAGCGTTGGACCAGGTGGGAGGGTCCCCCTGAGGGTGGCCCTGTGGTGGCCCAGGAGGCAGGCCATGAAGCTGACTCGAACCCACATGTGTGTGTCCACACACTCACTCCCTCGCCACGTGGCCCTGCCCAGTGAACACACTGTAAGCGCAGCCCACCGGCCATTGCGATAAGGGCTCCCTGCCCTGCATTGCCATGGAGGCCCCCGGATGAGCAGCTGCTAAGGGCTCGCAGGGGCACAGAAAGTGGCGCTGGGATGGCGGGTGGCCGGGCTCCGGGTCCCAGTCCCACCTGCCTCCCCACCTTGTCCTTACACAGAATGACAGCAAAGCGAACTGTTCACCTCCTTGGTTTGGGGCGAAGGTGGGTGACAAGGTGATTCTCTGACGGGGGCGGGGCTAACCAGGAGGAAGCTGGCCTGTTGGTGCAGAGCTGCGGCCCAGGAAGGATGCAGTTGCTTCCTTTCCGGGGGAGTTTCGAGCCCAGAGAGAAGTGGCTGGTGCTCACAACACAGGCACCTGTAGCCAGAGCCTCACAGTCAGGCCCAGAGGCGACCTTCACCTGGTCCCACTCCCGGGCTTGGCTGTGGCCTCCTGGGGTAGGATCTACCGGAGCTAAGGAAAGAACGAGCTGCAGCCGCCTTGAAGCAGAGCCGAAGCCAGCCCACCAGCTGTGCCACCGTGAGGCTTGGGGTCCTGTGCAGGGACACTCCTTCATCTCTGGGGCACGGGACAAGCTCAGAGCTCAGCTCTGAACCAGCGCTGGTCCTTTAGGCCCTGGAAGGGATGACGAGCCTATGGGTGGTGCCCAGGGTAGCAGACATGGTATACGCCATCATGCAGGTGGTCAGTGTGCCCGGGAGTGTGAGTCAGAGCGGATATGTGTGAATCTCCTGCATGTGCCAGCAGGGAGGTGTGAACATGTGTATAGGGCGGTGGAGGGCCTGTGTGCGAGCATGTGATCATGCCTGTGAGGATGCGGGGTACACAGCTGCCAGGGCCGCTAGAGAGGGGATTCGCAGGGTCAGCCTGCTTTGGGGGTTCCACATCTGGGCTCCCAGGCGCTGCCAGCTGGCTCAGACTCAGCCCAGGCTTCCAACCAGGGTACTGTCAGGGTGTGTCAGAAAGTATAAAGACCCCCTTCATCAGCGCCCCCCCCCAAACTTTACCCTGCATTCACCAGTGTCTCTGGTGGATGGGACAGGGGTGAGACACAAGAATGGACATGCTCACTCACTTTCCTGAGCTGCCAAACAGGGCAACGAACTCCCTGACCCCGCCTGGTCCGGTCCCTGGCCCTGCCCAGTGAGCTTTCTGATTCCCCAGGTTGGAGGGCCCCCCCTCCCCTGTCCCAAGCCTAGCCTGACACCTTCATGATCAAGAAAGCTACTGCAGGGGCGCCTGGGTGGCTTAGTCGGTTAAGCGTCCGACTTTCGCTTAGGTCATGATCTCGCGGTTCGTGGGTTCGAGCCCCGCGTCGGGCTCTGTGCTGACTGCCAGCTCAGAGCCTGGAGCCTGTTTCAGTCTGTGACTCCCTCTCTCTCTGACCCTCCCCTGCTCACGCTGTCTTTCTCTCTCTCTCCTAGAAATTAATAAAAATCTTTAAAAAAAAAAAAAAAGAAAGCTACTGCAGAATGATGGCTTGCCTCCTGAACGTGAAGGTGGACTACATTTCCCAGCCTGCCCTGCAGCTCCAGGTAACCATGTGACCGGGTGTTGGCCAATGGAAGGTGGGCAGAAAGCACAACTCCAGCTGCCCTGTCCAGGGAAACCTCCTGGGTGACCTTCCACGGGCACTCACTCCCCCTCTGCTGGCTGGATGCGATGCCCCAGGGCAAACTGGGAAGCCAAGTGTTAAAGACCTCAGAGTCAGGATCTCTGCAGGAGTTCATTGGGCAGAGCCCCCAGATCCACCTTCACTTCTACCTGAAGTCAGGCTGAGCAAGAAAAAAAACTATAGAGTTAAGCCGCTGAGATTTCAGGGTTTATCTGGTACAGCAGATGGTCTTGTCTCAATAAATATAGGCTCTTGATTGAAGTCACTTGAGATCCAGGGCCTGGCGGGGATACCCTCCCTTCCCAGTTGCCCTCTCTGGGAGAACAGCAGGTGGGGGGTGGGGGGAGAACCCTGAGCCCTAAGGCCCTGCCCCTATACTTCCTCAGTTTCCAGAGCTTAGACCCTCCAAGGCGAAAGGAGAAGGCCAGGGGTCCCCAGATGCCCTTAGGCCACTGATGCACAGAGCCTAATGTCCCCACCTCACTGCTGTGATTTCTGCAAGGAAGGTGCCCCTGGGGCAGGAGACTTCTCTGGGCACCATCCTCCAAGTCCTCTCTCAGGATGAGATCCACGTTCCTGCCTCGGCCTTAGGACCCGGTCCTGCCCTCTGCCTTGGGTCATGGCTGGGAGTAGGGATCAGCTGGGGGTGTTCTCTGAGGTGCCGGGGAGCAGGCCCGCTGCCACCTGGTCCTGGTGCCACAGCTGTTCCGCCAGGCTGTTGAGCACGTGGGCAATGTCGGCCAGCCCAGCCCGCCCATCCAGTGTGCGCCCATCTGCCAGCCGCCGCCCCGGCACACTCTTCACCCGCAGGAGGGGCAGTTCCCAGGCCTGCCGGAAGGCTGTGAGGTCACGCTCAGGGACATCAGTGTGCATGTACTGGTCAAATCTGGAGGAGGGTCAAGGAGCCTGGCCCGGTGTCTCTGCTTACCGCCTCGTCGCACCCAGCCTTAGCCCTCTTCCCCGGAGCCCCATCCTGGGGGGAGTTGTGGGGGGCTGCTGCAGCCTTTAAGATAACATCCATGGGTGTAGAGCCCACAGCTGGGCAGAGGCAGCCTCCCCGATCCCCTTGCTCTGTGCCTTGCCAGGGGTGTCCTCAGACTGTCCTAGGAGGCACCCAAAGGATACTTGGAGCCGATGACCATCCTGACAACACCAGGGGCCTCGCCTGCTACTCGGGCCAGCTGTCCAGGGAGGTCGTCAAAGGAGGCACGGTCGGTGAAGGAGAAGAGGAAGAGGAAAGCATCTGTTTTCTCCTTGCAAGCCTGGGGGTGGAGAGGCTGATGGGAGGCTTGTAACAGGGGTAGGGGTGGGAGGGGGGACCGGAACCTCCTATCAGCTGCAGGGCCCTGAGAAGTCTCAGCGCACCCCCTCCTTCCGCAGGCCCAGAGCAGCGCTGGGGCTGAGTCCCCACGGCCAGCTCAGCCTTCTCCCGCCTGGGGCAGCACCCCCAGGCCACGCCCAATTCCGCCCCCTGCAGGCCAGGCAGGAACTCAGAAGCCCAAGTCAACCAGCCCCTCCCGCCCCCGCCCAGCCCCACCTGCGGGCTCACCGGCAGCATGTGGTCGAACTTTTTGAGTGCAGACTCCCCGCAGTCCCAGAACTCAAAGCGGAACATGACGACCCGGTCGCTGGCCCGCAGCTTGGCTGGCCAAAATACCACGGTGGTCTGGATGCCTGGGGGAGGGTCAGCTGTTCAGTGTGGGAGAGGCAGAGTGGAGAGGGGAAGGGCACCAGGAAGGGATAGGAAAAAGTACGTCCCTGGTGGGTCACCAGCCTGATGCGGAGGGCAGTCAGTCGCTGACGTGGGAAAATTCTCAGTCTGATGGGAGAAACCGAATCCCTCTAGATTAGCCTCCAGCCTGCCAGGCAGCCGCAGCCCCAGCCCCGGCCACGGCAAAGCAAGTCCACTTGTACATACAGGGGGACCCAAACGTCCTGGGTCCTGGAGGATGTCGCAACATGATGGTCGATCAACATCCAATGGAAGGAAACCAGAAAAGAAGATCAGTGTTCCCTGAGCACCCATCTTGTGCCAGCTCAGCGCTAGGCATGTTACCAGCACTCTCTCTCGTACCAATCCCGCAACAATACGCTGGGGTTGGTGCTATTATCTCTAATGAATAAGGAGCCAGTGTGGGCTCAGGGAAGCGAAATGCCTTTCCAAGGTTGCAGAGTAAACGGTGGGTCAAGGGCCATCTTTCCTCCACCCCGGGGAAGGCCTCCACGCACGTACTCACCAGTGGTCTCATGGTGCAGCGCGGGTACCTCAAGGCCTGCCAGCTTGGCCAGCAGTGCTGTCTTGCCCACGCCACTCTTCCCAGACACGAAGATCTTGTAGCTGGCTGTGTCAATGGCCACGGATGGGGGCAGCACTGGGCGCTCCAGCAGCCCTGGGACAAGAAGGGAGCCAGGTGGGGTCAAGAGGTCAACCTGCACTTGCCCCATCAGACCCATCAGCTCTAAGGGCTTTTCAGTGCCAGCCAGCCATGGTCCTGTATACTCGTTACAGAGGCCTGGGACACAGGCAGGGGCCCCGGGTGAGCTCTGGTATGAACACCTGTGCTCTGTGAGCTGCGCCAAAATCCCACTCCAAATAGCACTGAATTACTTTTCTTTAAAGTTCGATGCACGAGGGGCGCCTGGGTGGCTCAGTCGGTTAAGTGGCCCACTTTGGCTCAGGTCAAGATCTTGGGGCTCATGAGTCTGAGCTCTGCGTCGGGCTCTGTGCTGGCAGCCCAGAGCCCGGAGCCGGCTTCAGATTCTGTCTACCCCCACCCCCCGCCCCTCCCCTGCTTGTGCTCTGTCTGTCTCTCATAATAATAAGTGAACATTACAAAAAATGAAAATAAATAAAGTTTGGTGCACAAGATTGTTTTTATTAGTACCACTCTCATATGTTCTAGATTTCCCGCAGGTAAAGGCAAGGGTTTTCATAATTCTTTCCTCAATGGAGAAATATCGGCAAAAATATTCTGTTACTTTAAATAAAGAAATTTATTAGAATCAATACACCAAGATCTTTAGGAATGCTTTTCATCGCCAAAAAGAGTCTCAATTATGATACATGCATAGGCTTAGCATCTGAAAGTCCAAAGCTGTGGGATGCCCTAAACCTGGTGCTTTGTTTCCTCCGGCGCCAGAGCGGAGCTTCCACAGCGGATGCCAAGCCCCTCTGCTGACCTGTCAGTGCAATTGGGTGAGCTGGCTTCATCTCGGGAGACGTGAAAGTCTCATCTTGGAGACAGCAGGACACGGAAGAGGCTTGCCTCTACTTACCCGGCTGGGACAAGTCTGTAAGGTGTGCTGTTGAGGGCAGACGGGAGTCTGTTGTGTAACATGCCCAGCAGAGGGCCTGGCACAGAGGTAAGAACTCAATCATCAGCCTCTCTGGTGACAGTGTTCTTGGCAGGTTTGGGCTGTTTCCATGCTCTTGGCTCTGATGATGGAATTAGCTCTAAGGAGATTCGGGGGTGGGGGCCCCAGGGATAATAGGGCTTCCAGGGGTCCCCAAGGCTGAGAAGTGCAGTAAAGCAGGCCCTCGATGCCCTACTTCTTTGCTTCACCCCCACTCCCGCCTCGGGAACAACAGGTGACACTGTTCTCCCAGGGGAGTGACAAGCTTGGGGGCAGGCACTTACCGAACACCCGTCTGCGGTTCTTGCGCAGGATGCAGGCTAAATACTCCTTGCCCTCGGCGCTCTCGTGCCAGTCTGGGACAATCACCGAGCCCGGGGCGGGTGGTCTGGCCATGGCCGGGCGCCGCGACGGGGTAGGGAGATGGCAGAATGCTGAATAGGGGATGAGAGAGGGTAACTGCCCCGAGCTGGACCTGCGATCCCTCTCAGCCTGCTCGCTGACTCTTCCTCGGAGCCCCAGCTCCCTCTTTGGGGGTGGGGGGCTTCAGTTAGGCACCCCACCCTTCTTATCATCCCCATTATAACTTTTAGAGTCCGAGCTTCCTTTCATAGTCCTGGGGGGTGGGGGGGTTACACACTCCCCGCCTCCCTCTTATTACTCAGAAGGTGCAATTCCATAGTCCCTTCGTCCCCATGCTGCTCCCTGGACAGTCATCCCATTATTGCCCGGGGGGCGGGGGCATCTCCCTTGTCATCTCCGGGCAGCAGCAAGGGGTTTTAGACAGCCCTGCTTCTCCACTGCCTCCTCGATCCCCACTCCCGGGGCCCCCCAGCCCTCACCATCAGAAGTCCCGGTCGGCGAACGGGCCCCTGCGGAGCTGGTCCCTTTAAAAGCCCACCCGCGCTCCCGCCGCCAGCCCGCCCCGGGTTGCTTCCGCCCGGCTTGCGTCTGGCTTCGGATCGCTCAGCCTGCCTGGCGTCGGAGCGTGGGGCGCATGTGCGGAGGCTGTTGTCAAGGAGACGCCGGGGGCGGGGCTGGCCCCTCACGAGTCGGGCTCTACCACCGCGCGGGGACACCCAGGACTGGGCCTACACCCCAGGGCCAAGGGTCTTCTCCTTTGCTGAGTCCGATTCCCAGGCTTTCCTCCAAAACATCACCAAATCCCCCTCCTCCAGGAGCCTTCTCTGCCTTAGTGCCTCAGTTTCCTCTTCTATAAAATACTTTTACCTCCTAGGGTTTTTTACAACCGTGCTCAGCCCATAGCAGTGCTCAATAAGTTTAGTTATTGTTGCTGATTATGATTGTTATCGCTCTATTAATTCTGCTCGGCAGGACCTCTGGCTTCACAAGTGGGGAAACAGCAGCTGAGGCTCAGAGAGGTTACCAGACTTGCTCAAGGTCTTAAAAATGAGTCAATCAGAGGGCCATAGGAATGTACCGGCCATTCATTTATTGATTCATCCCATCCATTCAACACATAATTTACTGAGCACCTATTATGTGTTCTGCCCGTTCGAGGCACTGGCAATAGAAAGACTAACAAGAAATACTTCCTTCCTGGGACTGACATTTCAGCACTGAGGTCATGCGCCCCTCCCCCACCACTCCACAATTCCAACAATGGGCACCGACCTGTTACCAGAAGGTGGGCGCTCAGTAAATGCCTGTTACTTGGACAGGATGCAGGTGGTCCTTGCTGAGAGGTTATCTATTACGCTTAATTTTTACCAGTATCTTCTTGCAGGGCCCTCAAGTAGGACAAATCACTGTTTTGTAAGGACTGATCTGTAAGTTAACCTTTATTGAAGGCTAACTAAGTGCCAGACAGTGGGGGTTTTACAGAAGTTGACCTCATTTAATTCTACAAACAAACCTTTTAGGAATATTATCATCCTTCTTTTCTTCTATGAGTGAGGAAACAGACAACACGATGCCCTGGGGTCACCTCCCACGGCTGGCCAGTGGGAAAACTAGGCTCAGAACCTAGGATTCCTGGACTCTGAACATCTGTTCTGCCCGACTGGCTCTTGTGTTTTTTTCGACTTTGCCCCCAGCCCCTAGGAGGGCCCTTCTTCGTAATTCCAAAAGCAACCAGAGGGCCATCAACTAACAAAGCATTGAGATTCGTTTCGTCCAGGGGAGCGGAGGGGACACGGCCGTATAAAGTGGGGCGCTTGCTCTCAACTGCTTCCACTACAGCTCGGAAGAAACAACAAATGAGTACTGATGTCTAGGGGATTCCGCAGCTTGAAACCCCTGCCCATACTCCCAGGTTGCTCCGCGCCCTTTCCTGTAGTTCTGAGCCCATCTGCCCGACAGGGTTGGTCACGCTGTGTGGGGCGCCCTCTCTCGGTGGACCTGAAGTGCCTCCCTGGCAGGGCTCAGATCCGACTTCTGAGTTTCCGCTCCTCATTAGCCCCCTGTCTTGGCTCTTAGAGGGCTCTGGGCGTGTGCAGAAACGAAGCAACTAGGCAGCATGAGCCTGCCAGTTAGCCAGGAGGCCAGATGTGAAGTTCTCCTGGACAGAGGGGGAGGCTGGTGGCCAGAGGAGCTGGGGGCCAGAGGTTTTTAGGGGAATCAGCCTTCACTGCCCTCTGGAGCTCACGGAGAGGACACTTCAGGAAGCATCAGGAGCCCGCTGCTCTTGGGGTCCCTCCTCCAGAGATTCTGCTTTGGGGGGACAGATGGGTCCGTAAGCTTGGACATGAACACGGAGCAGTTCAGAAGTTGGGTTCTGTATCAGTCCGCTGCGGCTGCCAGGAGGAATCTATTTTCTCGAAGTTCTGGAAGCTGGAAGTCCAAAATCAGGGTGCCAGCAGGGTTGGTTTCCGGTGAGGCCTTTCTTCCTGGCCTGCAGGTCTGGTGCAAGTCAGGTGACCTTCTCGGTGTGGTACAAGGCCTTATCTCTGCACACAAACCCTTCGTGTCTCTTCCTTTTATAAGGACGAAGTATTATTGGATTAGGGCCCCACCCTATTACCTCATTTAACCTTTATTACATCCTTAAAGGCCCTGTCTCCAGGTAAGTCACATTGGGGGCTAAGGCCTTAAAATATGGATGTCGGTGGGGGATGGTAGGGGGGACACACACGAAATTCAGTCCACGGCAGGGTCCACAGACCTCACTTAGACATTGCTGCTGGGGACAGAGAGCCAGTCAATGGTTAGAGCCTGGGAGTGCGGTGGTCAGAGTTTCGTTTCAGAGGACGCTTGTAGACCATTTTGGTCTAGTGAGTTCTGCCTTTCTGTGCCCCCTCTGACCATTAAATTGAGTGGCCCTCTAAAGCAAGATATTTCTCCTCTTTTTTTATATTAAAAAAAATTTTTTTAACATTTATATATTTCTGAGAGACTGAGAGAGACAGAGCACAAGCAGGTGAAGGGCAGAGAGAGAGGGAGACACAGAATCCGAAGCAGGCTCCAGGCTCTGAGCTGTCAGCACAGAGCCCGACTCAGGGCTTGAACTCACAAATGGGGAGATCATGACCTGAGCCGAAGCTGGACGCCCAACCAATTGAGCCACCCAGGCACCCCAAGATGTTTCTCCTCTTAAGGCCTAAGGTGAAGTGGGTGGAACCATCTACCTAAAGGCCCTTCTGGTGTAAAACTTTCTGATTAATCCACTCATTTCTTCGTGGTTTGGTCTCCCTCCACCTCCCAAATTGATACAGCACCTTCCGGACAGGGCCCCATAAGGCTCGGATGGGCAGAACACAGGCCCTCGGCCCTCGGGGGACAGGGGTGGGTGGGACGCCCTGGAGAGTGAGTGGGGAAGGGACAGTCAGGTTTGGAGTCTCTTGCCTGGATGCTGCGGCTGCTTCCTGCAGGGTTCCCTGCTTGCCTTCTGGAATGCCACAGCGGCACCAGAGTGGTCTTCAGGCAACGTAATTCCAGCAATGTCACACCCATGCTTATGGTTTCCCAATAGTCTTCACTGGATTCAGAATAAAAAACCAACTCCATGCCGTCGAGGCCGTCTGTGACTGGCCCTGGCCACTTCTCACTTTCATTTCAATGGTCGCACTCTTCCCCTTGCCTGATGCACTCCAGCGAGCCTGGCTTCTTGTTCCCACGCGGGGCCTCTGCGCTGCGGTGCTCAACACCTACGTCTCTCCACCTCACCCCCACCTCCTCCCGTGGATGGCTGCCTCCCCTGCACAGAGGCCTTCCTCCTCCTCCACTCAAGCATTCACCCTTACCCCCCGAGGCTCACTCCTTCACCCCATCCTGCTCTTGATTCTGAAATTTAATTTTTTTTAAGATTTTTAAGTAACCTGTACACCCAGCATGAGGCTTGAACTTACAACCCCGAGATCAAGGGTCGCGTGCTCTACCAACTGAACCAGCCAGGCGCCCCTTGATTCTGACGTTTTAAATTTATCGTCAGTCTCCCCCACCTAGAACATAAGCTCCATGAAGATAGGGGCCTTGTCTTTTTGTTCTGTTGTATCCCTGTTATCAGTTTCCTAACCTGCAGTAACGAAGTACCACAGACTGGGTGGCTTAAACAACACAAGTGTGTTTTCTCAGTTCCGGAGGTTAGAAATTATATATCAATGAATGGGTCACCTGGGTGGCTCAGTCGGTTAAGCGTCCGACTTCAGCTCAGGTCATGATCTCAGGTCACGAGCCCCGCATCGGGCTCTGTGCTGACAGCTCAGAGCCTGGAACCTGCTTCCGATTCTGTGTCTCCCTCTCTCTCTCTGCCCCTCCCTCACTCATGCTCTGTCTCTTTGTGTCTCTCAAAAATAAACATTTAAAGAAATTACACATTAAGGAGTTGGTAGGGTCGGTTCCTTCTGAGGGGCGGGAGGGAAGGATCTGCTCCAGGCCTCTCTCTTTGGCTTGTGGGTAACCATTTTCTCCTCATGTCTTCACACCACCCTCCCTCCGTACGAATCCGAGTACATACATATTTGCTCTTTTAAGAAGGACACAAGTCATACTGGATAAGGACCCACCCTAATGACCTCATTTTAACTTAATCACTGCAATAAGGGCCTTATCTCCAAATATGATCACATTCTGAGGTTATGTGGGTTAGAAATTCAATATAAGGGGGCACCTGGGTGGCTCAGTCGGTTAAGCGTCCGACTTCGGTTCAGGTCATGATCTCACAGTTTGTGGGTTCAAGCCCCACGTCAGGCTCTGTGCTGACAGCTAGCTCAGAGCCTGGAGCCTGTTTCGGATTCTGTATCTCCCTCTCTCTCTGCCCCTCCCCTGCTCACACTGCCTCTCTCTCTCTCTCTCTCTCAGAAATAAAACATAAAGAAAAAATTAAAAAAGAAATTCAATATAAGAATGGGGAGGGGCACAAAGGGACACAATTTAGCCCATAATAACCCCTGCTGGCTAGGATATGTTGGATATAGAGTAAAAGCTCAGTAGAAGCGTGTTGGCTGCCTGGCTGTGGCTGCAGTTTGGGGAATGGCCTGAAGAGGGCGCCTGGAAGATGTGACCAGCTAGGAGGCGGGGCAAACATTCCCGGCAGGAGTGGATGAAGACATCTTCTTGTCAAACATGTCTGAGCACTCCCTGTGCCCGGCCAGACACCGGGAGGACAGCTGTAAAGTCGGTACAGACCCCGCCCTTGGGTGTTCCACTCTCCGGTGGGGGGGGGGGGGATCAAGTAACCAGGCACTTGCACTTATAAGCAGGGCAGGAGGGTAGATTAAAAATGTCCAGATTCCGTTTAAATATAGGATTTGGGGCTGGAGCTGCCAAATCATCCCCAGGGAGTTGTTTTGAGCCTGGAATGTGCCAGGCCTGTGCTTGGCAGCAAGGTTGATGTCCTTGACCTGGACAGCATCATGTATCGCTTCCCTGCTTAAAACCCTTTAATGGCTTCCCACTGTGCCTGGAGTCAGGTCCATCTGCTTCCCCCACCCCCACCCCCAGCCTACAAGATTCACTTGCATCCTGT